ATTCCTTTTAAAATGGAAATCAGTAGAGTTTTTAGAGGTTATATGAGGCTAGATAGGTACTTATTGCAAATGTTAGCTAGCTACTTAAAAATGATAGTGAATTGTGACTTCAGTCGCCTGATTGAGAGCTACACAATCTCCCATTTATATATTTAACAAAGTGTGCAATCTGAAACCAATTTGGTCACTTGATCTTGTGCGACTAGCTCATAACCTGTGGTCAGTCCTACTATCAAAGAATCCCAGTTTTAATTCCTGCGAGGCCCATCAGAGTGGTTCCACCCACTCAGAAACACTGCTAATGTGTCAAATTAGCTTCTGTAGCATGAACTCTTTTGAAAACAACACTTGGCTAGACTGACATTTCAAGTAAATATCATCTGGCTGACATTACAAATTCATGGAACTGCTTTTCAAATCTGCTGTGGAATATAACTACACACTCTCCAAATGTGCTACTCTTGTTCTGATTGAATTTACCTGCTCTATTATTAATCTTAATTGCCCGACTGGCCTCTTTAGCACTCAACACCTGATTTTAATAATTTACAGAACACAAGTCATAACCGGAGAGCATGGCTAAGATGTTGGTAGGCTATGTAAAGACGTTTAACCTTTAATGGTGAGAGCCTGGAGAACAGATTGGTTATGATATTTTTTTTTCAGCTCACTGTTTTGACAGGGCATAAAATGTACATACGAGGATGTTTCAATAAATAAATGAACAAAAGGAAGATTCAAATAGGTATGGAAAAAATATGACGATAATTATGAATTAATCATGACGATAAAATTCCCAGTGCCTTGCGCATTGGCATATTGACGCCAAGCATTTCTTATTTAAAGCAATGCAGGACCCTGCACGTCGAAAAATTATGCTAAAGGGGTACACTGTGCTTCAAAAAGTGACGCCAAAGGGTCCTGACCAAGCGTCAATACGTGACGAGTTGGGAGTGAGAATGTGTTGGTTATTTTGAACTTTCTATTCATTAAAGACAAAAATATTACATTTATTTATGTATTGATGTATAATGTGCTTTTATTAATGTATAATGTGTTATTAATGTGTTAAAGTTTCCACAAAAATGATTAAGAAGAGCGACTGTTTTTAACATTGATAATAATAATAATAATAATAATAATAATAATAATACAAGTAGAATAATAAGATATATTTAATATATCTAATAATAATAATTATAATAATTATATGAAAATATAAAGCAATATATTTTTTTAATTATTAGTTTTGATCAAAGATGCAGCCTTGGTGAGCAAAAGAAAGATTAAGAAACTGAAAATATTTTAAATAGTAGTGAATATTATATATATATATATATATATTTTTTCCAATCAATGAAAATATCGTATTTAATTTAAACATGCATTTTTTTATGCTAATGATCAGTGGACACACAATGAACAAGTGACTATGAAAACAGTGATTTTTCAAAGTTTTATTTTTTTAATACAATCTATAAGTGCTTAAGTCCAGTGTTATCATTCTGAAATCTATATTAAACAAATCCTTTCTGCAATTTAACTACAGTTAAGCAGGTTTGTTTAAATAGAATTGCATTTGCTGGATAAATACCTAATTAATGCAGAGTCAAATAAAAAGAGACAGATGAGCTGTAATCTGTTATTAAAATTACAGTTAATTCAGCACTGAATAACAGTGGTCAGAATTATGTAGTTGTTGCCATAACATTTCACAAATAAATGCTGCAGCAGTTTTCTGAGTGGTTGAGTGCTCATAGTATTGTGACATGGTAAATATGTAAAAAAAAAAGTGCAAAAGGAGAGAATTTACTCTTTTAATTAAGGGAAAAACCACAACTCTTAGTTAAAATACTCCAAAATAAAATTTAATGTTTATAAATCTCTATACTTAAATATATACATTATGTGCAAATAAAATGTCCAACATTAAATTAAACTATGCAGTGTGTGAATAATAATAATTTTTACGTGTTATTGTGTATATATTTAGTATTTTATCCTCACTTATTGGCACCCAATTGTAGTAAGTCTGAATAAAAGAAAAAAGAAAAATACCCACATTTATGAGCTGAGAGTAAATATTCACCTAAAAGACATGATGTCCAATGAATTATCTGAAAATTAGAAAAGGCTTCTCTCGAACATACTCACGA